ATTGTGTGCTCCCCACCCAAAGTCTGGTTTCTTTCTATCACCAAATATTTGACCTCCTTTACCGTTTTCAACCTCCTGCCTCCCCTCCCCGAAAAATCATCTCTTGCTTCATACAGTATATTGTCTGTTCTGCATGGTCTGTCAGTTTCGACTCATCAGGTGTTTATCTACTTAGCTATCAAGTTTCTATTTATCCTTTGCATGTTCATTATCGTATCAAGTTTAGTTGCATTTGACAAAGTTTGAATGGTGGTCAACTAGAATTTTCTTGCTTTTAAATCCGCTTAGCTCACCGTTTCAAGCAAACATTGAGACTAGAGGGAAAAGGTGTCAATGCTAAGAGTTACACATTTAATAGATACAAGCTTAAAAACCATGATAAAATTTCACATGTGTAAAACCTACAAAATGCTTTTTCATCTATTGTGCTATACTCTACAGCAAATGTCTCATAAGTGTGCTTGGTAGCTTGAGGTGGTGTGGGAGCCTTGGTATCCTGAACGGAAGCTGAATGTTTTCCACAAGTGACAGCCTACAGAGAATCCAGTGATGTCAAAGGTGGCATTTCTTTGCAATGTATACATTGAAATACATGTCATTCCTTCGGTGTGTAGTTTACGGATGTTGACCCCCTGTTCAGGTTGTTGCTTCTGTGAGTATACCACGAGTTGCAAACTAGATCAATTGTCATTTGCGTGTCTCTGTGCTTTCACAGAGGCTGCGATGATCATGCTTAAAGCCAACTGAAGTACAAGAGTTGTTCAACGGATAGAAGGATTTGGCTTCCAGGTTTCCTACCTCATCCGGATGGGAGCAATCTGGAAGGAGGAGAGTCCACCTCACAACCTTCCTTCATTCTTTGTGAGGGGGCAGGAAAAATACGATGGTAATGTTTGTGTTGGCTGCAGCTTCCTCTCTTTCAAATTACATGAAATTACGATATTAAAGAAATTAGCATGAGGTGAGCAATCAGCAAATGTTAGCTATTATTTAATAACTAGAGACCTGTTGCAAGAAGAGATTCGTGCAATAGGCCTTCCTTCCCCTGGCTGCCGGCACTGGTTTTGCTCTGGCACCCGGGACCCAGGCCTTCACTCCAGCCTCAGTGGAGAAGCCACACCTCTTCAGTCTTCAGTCATCTTCAGTCTTAAGTCGTCTTTAGTCTTCGGTCATCTTCAGTCTTTGCTCCGTGCCTGCATATGCAAATTAACCACCAGCTTTGTTATGTTAATTTGCATACGAATCCTGATTGGCTGGTGGGCATAGCGGAGTGACACCAATTTGCATGTTTCTCTTTTATTAGTGTAGATGTTTAAAATAGCGATAACATGCTTAAAATTAGAGTGGGACATGGGAGTTAGAAAACACTGATTAGTCACCAAATGTTTGATTCCAGATCTTATGTAGCTGCCATGATTTTCACTCTCAGCCAAGGATATATTGGACTCAACTGACCTGTTTTTACTCTTAATACAACTAATTAAAAAACACAACAACCCACTTTCTTATAGGAAATCACTTCCCTTTTACAATACAATCCTGAATTGTATTTAGCTCTTTTGCTGTTGTTGATTTGCTTCCCTAGGGCCAAAATATACTATTTTCTTTTTCTGGCTTGCAAACATTAATTCATAACTCCTGATCTTGCCAGAGAGTAACTAACAATTTTGGCTCTGGCCAGGTTTTAGGAAAACTGAGAAGAAATGTAGGTGTTACCGGAAGAGACATAATTCCAGTTGGTCAGCTCTTGCCTTTAGAGGATTCCCTAAATTGTATTGCAGCATGTTATGGTGTTGCTGCGAACCAGCGCTGCCAACTTCCACCCCAGAGATGGCTACATTTCAGAGATGAGTGAAACGATACTTGTAAACAGGTTTATAATCATTAATCAAGCTTACCAAACAATGTGAGCTCTTTAGAAGCACACATCCTCTATTATAACTAATTGCCGATTGTTTATTTAATTACAACCTTTCATAGAGACATGAAGACTTGTAAAATGCAAATGATAAAAATTCCCCACTTAACTAAATTTGTTTTCCTGATGCTTATTGTGTTTTTGTAGGTTTCAAGTATCAAAAGATTTCTCTCTGGGGATCCTGGTTGAAATTCCACCACTTGAATCTTCCAATGCATGCCCTAAAAATTAAAAATTCCTAAAGAAGATTTTTCATTAGAATTGACAACTGCCCACTCTGGGATCCAGATGCTATACTCACGATACGATGATTTTTGTTCTGTTTGCCATACATGGCCTTTTCAGATACTGTCTCTTGATGATGGAAATTTCTGCCTCTCTTTGTACATTTTTATGGTAAACTTTTATTAGAATGGCCTAGAACCAAGGTTTTTCCATTCTTGATGGTGTCTAGCTCAGGGTTATTCAAGTTTGGTTTCCGGAAGATCTTGGTAGTAAAAATTAATCAATTGTTCCTTTTTGAAGTGCCTACTTCATGCAGGACTCACACCAGCCACTGTGTGTAAAAAGCACTAACAATTCCAATAGCGAAAGGAAATTTATAAACACCAGCGGTTCCCTGAAAGAATATGCTGGAATCTGGGTGGTCTTTGAGGTCTGTGTTGTTTTCCTTTAAAGTCAAGGACTAGGACTTGACTTTAAGATTTAAATAATGCAAATATGACCCCCGCTTAGCCCCCCAAGGTTTTTAAACTATCTGGTTGCTTTTCTGTCACACATACTACACTGGACCCTCACATACCTTCATTCAAAAAAGATTTAATGAAAAGACCCTTGGCTTTTAGAGCTTTAAGTACTGCAGCTAGTAATCTGTAGATATGAATGATACTAAAAAAAAACAAAACAAAACAAAAAAAAAACAACCATGGAGAACATAAATGTCTTCCTTAAATGAAAAACTTTTAAATGGTGCCTGAAGATAATGAGCACAATACCTGATATTTTTATGGCCATTTTAAGTTGGAAAGTTGTATGCACCTCTATCACATTGTTTTACTCTCAAAATTAGTCAAAGAAAGAAAAAGCATTGTCCTTCAGCAAACCGAGTGCCTGCTGCTTGCGAGCTCTGTGAGGTGATGATCCCGGGTACACCAGGCAACCCAAAGGACTTAGAATTTCCTTGGGAAAATAAGACATGAACGGAAATAAAAACAATAAAGGTAGCCCTAACCGGTTTGGCTCAGTGGATAGAGCATCAGCCTGCGGACTGAAGGGTCTCAGGTTGGATTCCAGTCAAGGGCATGTACCTTGGTTGCTGGCACATCCCCAGTAGGGGGTGTGCAGGAGGCAACTGATCGATGTTTCTAACTATCCCTCTCCCTTCATCTCTGTAAAAAATCAATAAAAAATATGTATTTTTAAAAAACAATAAAGGTAGTATAAAAAAGTCTCTCATAATTGAGAAATAGGAGGGCAAAGGGAGATTTAGAATTATGTGCCATACTATGCTAGGAAACATACATTATCTCGGAATATTCCTCCCAATTCTGCACCAGCTGTTCTGTCTAAATCTAAATTCCTTGCCGCAGGAAGCGTAGTGGCCACCACGAGCTGTATCCTGACTTTCTGGCAGAGCTAAGACATCAAGCAAGGCTCCTGACTCACAGCCATTACCCATAGATCGGGCTGGTGTGGGAAAAGCACCAAAGCACCGTGTTAACACATCCCCATTTCATTCCAGCGGGAGTGGGGATGGGGGGTGTGGGTGGGGAGACGCACCAGGCCTTGCCCTCAGGAGCAGCTGAGCTAAGGCGGTTGTCTGTGCTTTGGGGAGGGAGGCTGTTGGCTTGTCTCAGTTGACGGTATGTGACCAGCATGGTCTCTGGGCTTGAGTTCAGAAACCGCCTAGTCTACCGGGCTTCCAGTGTCCCAAGGGGTCCTGTTGACGTTGGGTCCACAGAGTCGCCATGGAGTCTTAGACACGAGTTTTCTTACCCATATAGAACCGGAGGCTCGGGGAGGGAAAGGGACTGGACCAAGACAGATGACACAGACAGGTGGCGGCCGGAAACAGGTCTGAGGACTCCAGCCCAAAGCCGCCGTTCTCTTTATTAATCCCTGTGTTAGTTTTGGGATCCATCTGCTTCCCTCTCTCCCTTTCCTTCTGTGTGTGTGTGTGTTGGGGGGTGGGGGGGAGAGAGGAGGTCATTCCAGGCAATTAACAGCCTTTTCTGTTTCTCAAAAGTAGAAGAGGGGATAAAGGGGTGAGAAAACTGTGTTTTTAGTCAGCGAAGGGGATCGATTCATTCCATCCCTGCTTACGGAGGCCGGCTCGGTGCCAGGCACAAGGTATCCAGGATACAGCAAAGGCGGCTCCCAGAGATGGACGCGGGGTCTCCCTAGATGTGGCCGGGCT